CCTCCCAATGCATTATAAAGTGGTATTAACACTTCACGTGATCTTGATTCTATCCCTCTGTTTATACAGCCTAGAACTCTGTTGGCTTTTTGGCAGCTGCTTCACACTGTTGGCTCATATTTAAATGGTTGTCCACTAGGACTCCAAGATCCCTTTCACAGTTACTACTGTTGAGCAAGGTACCACCTATACTGTACCTGTGCAGTAAAAGTTTTCTGTACATAAATAGTAAATAACAGTTAAATATCCTCTGCAAGTAAAAGTTTTAAGCAGAGATGCAGATGCTGAAGTAGCAAGCCAGGCACGCCAAGTGGCACTGAAAACAATGGATTTAATAAAGACTTTAGATCACTAGATAAAGATTGCGAAGTTTTCTTTTTTTTCTCCATCAACATTCTTACTCGCGCCATTGAATTCAAAGGACAACCCGCGCTTTAATCACTTTGCATTCAATTGGCGAAAGAGACAAAGCCGCAGCGTGTTTATTTTACTAAAACACAGGCAGTGTGTGCTCTACGCATAACTTTTATAGTAGTTTGGATCTTAAATATCCCGGGAGACGATCTCACTTTCCTTTTAATGAAGGCACTCTCTCGCGTCCAGCTCCTGAATTCTCAAAGCCCGTGAATGAAAAATGTGTCCCCCCCCCCCCCAGTACCTGATGCAGGAGCGCAACTGCTGGGACCGGGTCAGCGCCGAACCGTCACCCGGCGACAGACACTTTTCGCCATTCGCCGCAAAATCAACCCAGCGCGCCAAGCTTTCAACCCGCGCGCTTCTCAAGCCCCACCTCGACCCCGCCCTCCTCGCGAGAACGAGGGAAAGTCCAGGCACCCATGTAGACCACAACGCCCAGCATGCCGCGCGGCCCGAAGCCTGCCTTTGTGCTCACCGCTCTGCATCTTGGGTGTTGTAGTACAAGCGTTTTCTTTGTGCGAAGACTGGAGTCTGCCTTTAAAGTTATGGGGCGCTTGTTGCTGCTGGGGTTGTGTTTTCCGTTACGGTATACGCGTTCGGTTAGAACAGTAAATTAAATGCAGTTGTCACGTTTATAGGTCGGTATGGCTGGAATCTAGCTTAGTTTATGGTTTATCATGTGTGAACATTGGCAGTTGAGTTAATTCAGCACAGAAACATTCATTTAGCGAGTGGTGGGAAAGATGTCGTGGACCTATGAGTGGATAAAGTAACCTGATCCTTATTTTATCAGTAGTCATTTTGTGAGCTTTCAATCTTTAGTATCAGTATGCCACCTAGAGTCTGCTTTGATCGAGGCAGTACAATAGATGAATCTCATAAATAAGCACCCTTTTACCTATTAAATCTACAAACCTCTTGGCAAGCTCCGGGATCCAGAAAATCTGGGTGCCTAACTTGGTTAATTGGATAAAGGCCATTGACTCCCGATTGATTCCCAATAAATGCACAGATCAGTGCTCGTCGTGCTGATGTATTTGCAGCAATAATCCAACAATTCTTTAAAGGAGAGCCCAATCTCTTTAATTCTGTCAATCCAATTTAGCTTTTTTCTAGCCCTTCTATCTTCCTCAACCTTGCCAACATTCTTATTCAGCAACTAGTGAAGCATATGCCAAAGAATGTGAATTTATTTACCCTATCGCTTCAATGGAAGTCTTTACTTAGTCCAGGATCTACTTATATTGTTTTATTTTTCTTGTAGTTTATGGTACTCTTTGTAACAATATCCTTTCATCTTTCTTTTGAACTCTCTCCATGTTAATCTTTCTGCACACTTTTCCAGTATCCATTATTGAACATGCATGAGGAATTCATATAACTTTATGATTGGAATGAAGAGGTGTTAGATTAGCACTAACATATTTTCCAGGCCTAGGACTGTGTTTTTTAAAGGTGAAATTTGGGTTATATATGTGCACAACTTTAAACATGAATTATATGGATTTCCAAAATGATTTTGTACTTGGAAAAACTGCAGGATGAAGAAATAAAAGAATTAGGGAGCAAGCGTGCAAAACAAAAAAAGTTTTAATTAATTTCTTAGGTTTGAAAAAAACAAAATGAGTAAAAGATACCATGCTACTACTTATTCCTGCTGTGATAAAAATAAAGAGGTTTTTTACCTCTCATGGGGGTCGTATAATTAAGCTGAACAATGTGTTATTCATTCAGAAAAAAAGTAGAGTTGTAACTCAAACCCAATTAATGTCTTTCATTTAATATTTATTAAGTTTAAATTCTGCCTTATGGTAGGGCTATTTCAGTTCTGAAACTGCTTTGCTGCCTTTCCAAACACTTTCCTCCAAATGTAAGGTACCACAACATAACAATTGCCATATTAATAAATCAAAAGGTTGATATGTTCTAGATAGAATGCTTGCATGCATTTACTCTGAACCTAAGTATTTTTTTACTTGCAAATGAGTCATACAGTCATTCTGAAACTAATTTCCATCTCCGAAAATAATATTACACATTGTACAGCACTGCAGCCTGTTAATTTAAATTTACTGTCTACTCAATAAGCTTTGCAGCTATGAATTAGGCTTAAAGGTGGAACAATTTTTAAAGAGCTTAGTGCTTTGTACAATATATTTTATTGAACAGACAGATCTGGTGAGGAATCATTTTTTCCCTTTATTATTTGCCTGTGAGCAATTTGTACGTTACCATTCTTGCAAAATGATTTCTTTTTTTGGAAGTGTCAAGTAGTACACCTATCCTGAGGACAAAAATATATTCACAGTTATTTCTTCATTATCACTGAGATAAAAAGAGCAATGAGTCAAACAGCAATTGGAAAGTAGGCAAATATCAAAGAAAGAAATAATAGTTTTAATATATCACCCACTGCTTCTGTGCTATTAGGAGCATCAGTTACAGATTTTTAATCAAATTGCTGCCTACAAAGTTAATATTCAAGGTGTTACTGCAGTGTCATAATGACCCTCTGAATTTCTGCAGCCTGGTTCTGGTCACTGGATCCTTGGATTAAAACAAAATGTGTTTCTGCTTTCAGGAAACTTGCAAGTCTGTTTATGAATCTCCTAAAAAGATATCTGAAAACAGTTCTATCCCATACAGCTGACCTGGGTTAGTTGTTGTATTCTAATCTTTCACAAAATATAGCAGTATTGCCAAATGTTTTAATATGATTCTTCCAGGGGTGAAATCAACTTACCTTCACTACTGTTTTGCAAATATGAGTGCTTGTGCCACTTCTGTGCATATGCAGGACCTTCCGCACATGCGCAGAGTATAAAAAACGGGACATGATGAGGTCTGGGTGGGTGGGTGGAGCCTCCTGCCACCAGCGGTACTGGTTCACCCAAACCAGATAGAACTAGCTGAATTTCACCACTGGATTCTTCCATATAGGCTTATCAGATGATAATGATACAATCCACAAAGCCCATAAGACAATCTGACCATTCCTAGATGCAGGTAGTCCTCAACTTACGACCACAGTTGAACCCCAAATTTCTAAGAACTAAGAACTACTGTTGCTGAGACATTTGTTAAGTGAGGTTAGCACCATTTTACACCCTTTCTTGCCACAGTTGTTAAGTGAATAACTCCAATTGTTACATTAGTAACATGGTTGTAAACTGAATCTGCCTTCCCTATTGACTTTGTTTCTCAGAAGGTCACAAAAGAGGATCACTTGACCCCAGGATAAATATGAGTCAACTGCCAAGCATTTGAATTTTGATCACGTGACCATAGGGATGCTGCAATGGTTGAAGTGTGAAAAATGGTCATGTCATTTTTTTTCTGGTGCTGTTTCAACTTTGAACGGTCACTGAGTGAACTGTTGTAAGTCAAAGACTACCTGTAATGCTGGTTCCTCAGAGCCAAAATTTAAAACATTCATACCAACTGCTAATGGCCTTCAAACATAATCCATAGATATCCCCTGAGGAAGACCATACGTATTTGTCAAGCATAAACAATTAAATAAAAACCAACACGATTAATAAAAATACTGAAAATGGCAAAGTATCCTACATTCTTGCAAACCATAATTATACTTATAAGAGTGTTTAGATTTGGAATAGACTAAATTGCTCGTATAAATGAGGGTCCCTCAGGCAAAATTGTGATTAATGTGTGTGTTCCTTCATGTAGCACAATACTATCTCATTGCTATCAAGAGTAAAGCTCAGTAAAATTCAGTAATGCAGTAAAACTAACTTGCTTTCCTCTTTTTCATACCTTTGGAGGTTTCTTTATCTTCTCTGGCCTTTGCTGTGGGAAGCCAGTTGAGAAGACCCCCTGAAGAAAGTGCAACTGTCAGCCCTGAAACTGACCTGACTGAGGTCATTTTGGGGTTTCAGTGTTGCCACACTGGAGCTGAGGGATGGATGGGAGGTGGGTGGGGATAGCTGGGGTTTTGTAGCCAAAACAAAATACTTTCTCCTGGGAACCAAGGAGAGTTCCACAGGTGGCTGGAGAGAGGAGGAGTGAAGTTAGCAGGCAACTGGATGGCACCTTGATTGGACCATGTGACTGATTGTTTGGGGAAGGGAAAAACTTTTAATTAGGTGAAAACCACGGGAATGTAAGAGTTGGTTTTCACCAGCCTGTGCCAACATGATATATCCAATAAAACTATTCTTTGAGGAATTGACCTGCCTCGGAGTTCTGTATGCTCTGGATATATTACTTGGGACCCTGATAGCAACTGTCATAAATACATGCCTGTTGCCAAGTACCTGAATTTTGATCACATCACTATGGGGATGTTGCAATGGGCATACATGTTAAAACCATCTGTTACTTTTCAGTGCTGTTATAACTTCAGTCACTAAATGCATTGTAAGTCAAAGTCTACTTGTATTTAAAGAATCACCTCTTCTCGGTTACATCTACCCAGCTCACCAGAATGGGAATGTAGGATATGTTACTGTGCCCATCTATTAAGGAAGTACAACTAATGGGACCCTTTGGAATATCACTCCTTCGGAAATAAGGTTGGCCTGCTCTTTGTTATTTTTCTGGAAGTCCTTGAAAAGATGGTTTTATCAGTGGGCCTAGAGACTCCAGGTTCATTCAAAGCCAATCAAGCATCACTGCCATGGGGTGGGGGGAGAGTTCTGGATTTTTTATAGTGTTGATTTTTAATGTTGTACACCACCTGGAGTCAGCATGTAAGAGTTGGGCATCCATATAAATAATCTTAATTGTTCTGACCTAGGCTTCTCAAAACCACGAATCTGACTCCTCGTCCCAATGAAACCCCTTTTATTTAGTTTAAAGTGAATTCCTCTCCAGCAAAGTCCCGGCCAACAGTCTTTCTAGAGATTTCACAACTACAGACTTTTATCAGGCTTCAAGAGCTGCAAGGACTGTAGTAGACAACACTTGGCAAGAAGTCAGGAACAGATCTTCATCCTAATGAATTGAATTAATTTTCTCTTGCAAACTCCACTCCCCTTTCGCTCCTCTTTGGGAGGGGCCATTCACCGTCCACCTATGCCTTTACTACTGAGTTGACCCTTGTTCCTTAGCTATTCCCTTCTCCTGGCAGCTCTGTGCATGCACACACTGGGAACAGGCTCCAGCTGTTCTTCTGGGCCACTGATGTCCAACGCCAAAGGCAGCTGATAACTGTCAGACGGCTCTGGCCTCATCTTTGCCTCCGACGCAGAGCACTCGTCAGAGCCTTCCCCAGACTCCAGGAATGGCCCATGTTCCTTCCCAACCTCCTCACCGTCTGAGTCTGCCATCAGCTCTGCTGGCTGCTGGCGGGCCACAACATTCATAA